CCCCAAAAAAAGAGATTGCCAAGACAAATAATTGTTGTGGCATGTGCAAACATTTTCTTGGGAGCCTTTTTAAATATGCAGCTTTCAGAAGATTACATTACGTGCTTTTCAGGAATGCTAAATCATAGTGTGTTTGCTTCATGACTCAAGAACAGGTCGATATTAAAATCAACCATAAGTCATTCTTCGTGTATCTCTTTTGCAATTTATCAAAAGCAGCAAATGTGATAAGTGACCAAATCGCTTATTTGAGATCACTAGGAAAACTTAACTTACAGGTGCTCTGTAGATAATTCTCAGGAAGTGTCTAGGAAATAGAACCTGCCAGGGAGAGTGGCTTGTCTCCTGCTCATGGCAAGACCCACCGAGATACAAGACACAGATACACAGCACTCCACACTGTGCACTTCCAAGCTGATACCTGTTGATGAAACATTACTAACTCGTCCTTATTTTGGCGATCGGTAATTGTGCATAGCACACTTTTTCCATACTGTTTTCCTTAGCAGCCTGATATTTGAAAACAAATAACAGAAACGATTCCATGCAGTATTTCAGAACAGGCTCCCAAGCATGAGAATCTGGCACGTTCTTCTGTTTTCTGCACATTATTTGCCTCCATATTTCCCTTGCATTTGGAAGCCACGGCCCCTGGACTTTTATCACTGCATCCTGTTTCCTTCCCTAATTGCAGGTTTTTTTGTTACCTTTTTTTTTTTTTTTTCAATTTGCCTCATAAAATACGAAATTAAGCTTAGCTAACCTGTGTCGACATTTGCGACGGTCATGTCTTTGTCAGATAGGACATTTACACCTTGCATTAAAACTTCTGCTACTATAAAGCAAAAAGGGAAGCATGACAGGGAGGCACAAGAACATTTTTAATTGTCTAATTTTATTTTTCGTGTCTACCTGTCTCCACTGAACGATGGCCTTTACTTGATCCCCACTGGCTCTGAATCCTACTCGTAGTTTCTTCTCACCTTTGTTCATTCATTCGTGTGCAGCAGGTACCGTGACAGGTAGTGGGCATCCAAAGATGAGTAAGACACGGTCCGTGCCCTCCAAGTGGGAGATGATGCACGAGTCCCGTTAAGACACTGCATGCAGGGATGGACGTGGGCCCCGTGAAGGAGCAAACCAGAGGGCCGGAAGGGGCAGCCCCCTCTCCCTGGGAGGATCGCGGCAAGCTTCTGGAGCATCCGAGCTGAGGCTTGGGCAGTGAAGGAAAGAAGAGAGCGGGGAGACAGGAGCCTTCCAGATGTTCCCGTCTGGAGGAGGGGCGGAGATGACAAACATCGGTTGTGCGGGCTGTGCGGGAAGCTCGATATTAGGATATGAGCACACAACTGCAGGCAGAATAAAAGGTGGACGGAGGTGTGAGCTTGAGGCTCGGGGTGGCCTGGGCTCTGTGACAAGGAACTTGGATGTTTTCCTTTAGGCACCGGAGATCTGACGAAGGTGGGACAAGCGTGGTGTCTACATTGTGAGGTTTAAGGAGGCGACGGTGTTTGAAGGGAACTTAAGCTCGCGGCTTCTTAGGGGGATTAAATTATTATAAATGAACCGTGCTGTTATATTTGTGACCAAGGGTCTTAAAACTTTGCAATCCTGCTGCTCGCCTTTTGTTTTTTGTTTTTTTTTTTAATGTTTATTTACTTACGAGAGAGAGCGCAAGCAGGGGAGGGGCAGAGAGGGGAGGAGACACAGCATCTGAACCCACTCCCTTTAATTTGTCTTAGAGACGTACACAAGTCATCCGGTGCCCAGTGTATGTCCAGCAGTGTCGGTCTCTCAGACAGACTTGGCCCCTGTCCTCGTGGAGCTCAGTCTCATAGGGGAGCTACGAGTGGAAATGGGCGTCCAGTTGGAAAGACCGAGAGACCGCTGGATCAAACACTGCACGCAATGATCTACCTCCAACTGTAGGGCAACATTAAGCAGTTTTTTCAGATATCACAGCATTGTAACAAAAACACGCGCACGAAACTCTGTCACTTGCATCCCTCCTCCTCGGAGAACAGGTCGCGTTGGGTGAGGTAACGGACTTCTGTAGTCGTCGTGGATCATTTCCCTTCGTCTTGACAGGATGATTTCTGCTCTTGCTTTCTCCTTTACCTGTGAACCCCTTCACTCCCCTCTCCCTCTCCTTCCCCCACCCCCAGCTCCTTATTTCTCTGCCTGGAGAAATCCTCTTGTCCCCGAAAGCCTGATTCCATGGACACCATTTTCCAAACCCGCCACACAACTTCCATCCTTCCCCATGCATCAGGTCCCCCTTCTCTCCTGTCCAATAGTGGGGAGTCTCTCCACCCAGGTCCCTGGAGGACTGGACCAGGGTTGGGGACCCTATTCCTGGGCCACTACCCGGAGCATAATGCCTGGACATAGCAGGAATCCGACAAATGCTTAAGAATTGAATATGACTTCTAGCAAGTGGGAGAATTGGGCTCTTGGTGATAATGAAGCAGACCATTTTTGTGAGCCCCCACCGTGCCCCGAAAAGCAGTCACTGAGTACTTTGCATTACCATCTCACTTGATCCCCCCAACAGGTCAAATGAAGACATTGAGACTCCAATCGGTTAACTCACTGACCAGCGTTCATTTTTTGACGGTCACTGTGTAATTGACAGCTCATATGCACAGTTGGGAGGGATTCTGGATACGGTCTGTCTGGTCCAACAGTAGCATGGTCATCTTTCCCCTCCTGGGAGCCCACTCTGTCATGACCTCTGACAAAATGAACTGAACATCCCTCTTGTGGAGTCCTCTGTGCCACTGCCATGGTACCATCAACCCTGGTTTCACCCAAGATACCACTGAGATTGGGACTGTTACTGTCCGCGACCTCCTCTGTTTAGACCCCCACTAATCAGATCACTAGAATTGCCCCGAACAGTGTGTAAAGAGGAATGCCTTTCACTTCTTTAACTTGTTCTGCTACATTGCTTATTCAAAGAAAACACAATAAGGGAAAAACTGACTTTCTAGCTACGTTCACTCCAAATTGAATATTTTTAAAGAAATATTTTTCAATTTGTCAAAAGCATATCAACAGTCATAAAAATTTTTTATATCGTCTGGCACCGTGCTCTCAACCCTTGGGAATTTCTTCCAAGAATATAATGTGAAAGAGGTTAAATCTCATATGCACAGATATTTTCCATCATTATTTATATTGGAAGCAACCCACATGTCTAATAACAGGGGGAACAGTTTTGTAAATCTTCATACATCAACCTAACAAAATTAAAAGCTGCCACGTAGGATCATAAATTCTGAACGTTCGTAGTACTGCAAGAAACGTCTGAACATTTTAAAGGAGCAAACTACAAAAGTCTCCTTATTCTATAAAATCTATACAGAAATATGAAGCACTTAAAGGAAGCCACAAAGAATTAGAACGATGGGTTGATGTCTTTAGCATTTGAAATTCTATGTGACACGTCACGATTTTTTTTCCTTGATTCTTGTTAAAACGTGTGCATTTAGTGAATGCTCGAGACAGAGATCTTCAGTGATGCACATTTCAAATGGTGTGATTGTATCTTGGTAAGTTTGTTTTCCTGCCGGTTCCTATCTCTGCCATAAATGACGGCCTTGACATAATGACTGTCAATATGTCGTGTATAATTCATACATTGATATTATTCTTTTCCTAGTGTGTGCTTCTCAAATCTTCCTGGGCATTCATCTCACCTGGGGATCTTGGTAAAATGCTTATCGTGATTCACTAGGTGTGGGATTCTGTGTGTCTGATAAGCCCCTGGTGGTGCGGGTGCCCTTGCCCGTCGTACAGCTGTCCTTTGCATGTGGAAACGATGCTGTGTGCCGTTGACCGCTCGGCAGTCAGGAGTATCACCTGGGAAAGCAGTGTCGGGCACTCTCCCAGCTACCTCCGCGGTAACTTTTCTAGCGATTTGGGGGCCGAGGGGTGTCCCCTGGGGTTATGGACTAAAGATGCTATTTTATCAAGCCTGATGATTCATCTTCTTAACCCACTCTGCTAACTTGAATTTCATCAAGCAACAAAAATGACACAAGAAACATGAAACAATGGTGGCACTAAATAAGGGATTCTATGCGTGTTATAAAAAGTAAGAAAGGGGGACGCCTGGGTGACTCAGCTGGTTAAGCGTCCGATTTGGACTCAGGTCATGATCTCATGGTTTGTGGGTTTCGGCCCTGCGTCGGGCTCTGTGCTGACAGGTCAGAGCCTAGAGCCTTCTTTGGACTCTGCTGTTTCCCTCTCTCTCTCTCTCTCTCTCTCTCTCTCTCTGCCCCTCCCACACTCATACTCTGCCCCTCTCTCAAAAATAAACATTAAAAAAAATTTTTTGTTTTATTTATTTTTTTTTTTTAATTTTTTTTTTTCAACGTTTATTTATTTTTGGGACAGAGAGAGACAGAGCATGAACGGGGGAGGGGCAGAGAGAGAGGGAGACACAGAATCGGAAACAGGCTCCAGGCTCTGAGCCATCAGCCCAGAGCCTGACGCGGGGCTTGAACTCACGGACCGCGAGATCGTGACCTGGCTGAAGTCGGACGCTTAACCGACTGCGCCACCCAGGCGCCCCCAAAATTTTGTTTTAAAAAGCAAGAAAGGATCTTCTAATGCTAATCATGCTAGCAATGTCCCTTGATACAATTTGGAACCCGATTAAAAAGCTGGCAATCCCATCTGTGGTCAGAAACACGTTGCCGTGAGTGTGCATAGTGGAAAAAGACTTTTGGCCCTGGCGGTGAATCCTTAAGGCACCGCCTTATAAAGCGGAGTAGAGAGCCGTCTCTTTGGAGAAGGTAGGGAAGGGGGGGAACGTCTTCTGTGACTATGGGAAAATCAGCCTACCGCTGCGTATGAACAAGAGACAATGCCTCTGGACGTGTTGGGGTTTAAACTGTCCTTTGAGCCTGAGTCGCAGCCAACAATTGCTGAAAACTAAAACCTGCTCTTGTCGTGAGACAATGATAGCAACTCTCCACCTTGATTCTCCACAGTAACTGAAGCCGGCTTTGGTGCTGATATTGGAATGGAGAAATTTTTCAACATCAAGTGTCGAGCGTCCGGCTTGGTGCCCCACGTGGTGGTGTTGGTGGCCACCGTGCGGGCTCTGAAGATGCACGGAGGCGGCCCGAGCGTAAGTCCCCCACTTCCTTCGTAGTGGAACGCATTCCAAAACGAAGATGAGGCTGACTCTCGCGTCTGAAACCTTCAAACCTGCTTCATAACCGGCGTTTCCTTAAACGGCAAATCACCGTTATGGGGCCCTGATCGTTTCGTAAGTTCAAGTAAAGGATGATGCTCCCAAAGACGTTGCTGAGCTGTAGTTTGGAAAGGAGCATAATGTAACCGCTTTTTGGTCCTAAGATTTATATCTGAAACTCAGGTCAACATTTTATAACCCCAGGGTGTAATGAGACGATACAGGCTCTTGTTCTGAGCAGGGAATATAAGGATGAGGAATAATTGCTTTTGCGGGTGGTTTTTCAGTGTTCGTGCAGATAGTTTTTTGGTTCACTGATGCAGGGTCTCATCAGATTTCATCTGGAACTGTTTTCCTTCTGTTTCTGTTTATTCTGATTTTACTTTACCGCTCTGTTACGGCACTGGATTATTTCTACAAGAGCTTTGTTTGGAAAACACACCCTGTTTCCACATTTTCACAGACTTTTGACATTAACCTATCTTATATGCAGAATTCACACACAAAAGAAAATTTTTTCTTTTCTGTAGTAAACACATAATGTTTTTCTTTTTTTCATGTTTAAGTTTTTTTTTTTTTTTTCAAAGGGAGAATAGGAAATGTTATCCTGAGTAATTATCTTTGAAGTAAAATAAGTCAGGGTGTCTTCATCATTTTTATACTGCGGTTATATCAGACAAGGTACCAAATCTGATTTCTTCATCGGTAATCCCGTGTATACAGAGGTCACGTAATCATTATTATGTGGCAAGAACGAATGACAGGTTTGCCATCGTGAAACGCATCTGTGATGTGCATTGTGTAACCATTTTAGCAAGTCTTTGTCCTAAGAGAGGCTGACGTTATCTATCTGCAGAGAGCCAGATCTGAAGCCTGAGTCTTGGATCCAAACTGCCTTCTCTGTCCACCAGGCAGAGCTGAACATTAATGAAGGGTAAACAGGAATCCCAAATCCACTGGTAACACCAAACACTTACGTAGTCCATTTTAGCCCAAAGCTCCGTCATTAATTCAAATGCGAGATGGGCACGACATGCGTCATTGAGCAGTAGATCCTAAGGAATTCTCATTTGGCTCAAAACACCATTTATCACTACAGCGACTCCTTCACTTTAGATTCTGAATCTGTATACCAATTTCCGTTTTCAAAAAACAACTTCTACCTCCTATAACATACATTTGAAATTCTCCCTCCCTGTTTTGCACCCTGGACATCGTAAAATCGAAGGGCTTTAAGACTGGAAAGGGCTTCAGGATTGTCTAAGTCTGGTTCAGTGTTTGTAAAGATGAAGTTACTGAGGTACCAGAAGGATTCAGTGATTTGCTTGGTATCATCCTTCTAGTTAGGGGACTGATCAGACTCAAGGTCTCTTGAGTTTTAGTCTAGGGTTTTTCCACACTCTCGTATCTGTCCTGTAAAAATTGTGTACGCAATGTATCATCCTCTTTTAGTTCATCTTAATGTATGTGCTTCTTTTACAGTGGTGGCATTGTCCTCTAACCTTAATCTTTTTGTACCTCTTCTGCGCCCATCATGGCTCCATGCCAGTGAGGGTAACAGGGCTCAAGCCTAGTAGGCACAGATCCGGGTGGATGATGATTAAAGAAAAGGCTCGGGAAGCCTGGCAAAGCTTCGTATCCCCCTCCTGAGGCTCCAGAAGAGCCTTCTGCATCATGTTGTTTTATGCACGTCTATATATGCATCTCCCTTCTCAACTGTGAATCCCTTGAGATTAGGGACTATGTCTTACTAATTTACGTATCCCTAATGCCTGGCATAATCTGCATCCAGGAAATGTTTTCAACAACTGAATAATAAAGGAGCTTTCATTTCCTTAATCCTATACTCTCTATTATCCATGTCAGTGTCTTTCCTTCTTATTTGAAACAACTCTGTGGTAATGTTTTTGAGCCATTATAATTTCTACTTCCTTTGGATATCATTATACAAATAACCATGGCGGCCTCTTATGTTTATTCAGCTTGTTTTTTTTCCATAATTTGTGCAGTGGAAAATCCTGTGACCCTCGAACTTGCCCATTTTAGCCCCAATTATTTAAAATTCATATCCTGTCTTCCAAAGTGCTGACCATTCCAATGCAACTCACTGTATAGTATTTTTAGTATAATGTTTTTATACTTACGGACCTAGATATCCCTTTGCAATGAATTCTTTAAACATATTGTATTAAGAAGTAATACAATGTGTATTTACATAAAGAGAGATTGATTATAAGGAACTGGCTCACACATCTATGGAGGCTGGCAAGTCCGAAATCTGCATGGTGGTTCAACAGGCTGCAGACTCAGGAGGGCCGGTGTCGCAGGTCCAGACGTATTCTGAAGGCGGTCTGCTGGAGAACTTTTCTACCACAGAATCTTTTTGCTCTATTAGGGCCTTTAGCTGATGAGATACAGCCTACCCACATGGCACGGCGCCTTGTTGGGGGTTCGGGGGAATCTGCTTTACTCAGAGTCCAAAACACCCCACAGGAACACTCGGGATAATGTTCGACCAAGTATCTGAACACCCTGTGCCTCAAGCTGACGCCTGAAATGAACCAACACGCCCATTGCTACTGATTTTCATATACGGCGCAATCAGCAGATCGAATTTCCCTTTTTTTTTTTATATGAATAACCAGTTGGCCTCGTACTGTTTATTTAAACAGTCCCTCCTTTCTTATCACTCAAGCCTACTTTGTGATAAATTGGTTCTCCATACAGGTGTAGGTCTTTTTCTGGGATGTCTCCTCCGTTCTGCTGGTCTATTTACCTATAATTGTGCCTGTGCTGCACAGATAGCCATTGTGGCAAACTCCTCCAGGTTGTTCTATCTCTTCGTGCGTACCTGGCCTGGGATCGGTCCTTTTCACTTCCAGATGTATTTTAGAATTAGCTCATAAAGTTGCATCAAGAATCTTTTTAGGGTTTTCATTAGAATAGCATCAATTATATCAGGAGATTAGCGATATCTGACAAGTTCCCATCCAAGCTACTTCTATTGGTTTAGGTCTTTTTAAGTGTCTTTTAATAACAATTTACAGTTTCTTCCACAAAGGGCTTCTCTTTCTTTTTGTGCATTTGTTACTGCGTACTTTATATTTTCGTTTAACACACCCCCCCCAGATTCTTTTATATTGCTTTTACATCCAGTGCCCTTTCTAAATCCTCTTTTTTTTAAAGTAAGGTACAATGGACATATAACCGTATATTCATTATAGGCGTAAAACAGAACGATTGGACATGTGCATGCGTCACAAAAGGATCACAAGTCTAGTTAACAGCTGTCGCCATGCACAGGTACAAAAAGTTTCTTGCACAGAGGGCTTTCAAGCTCCAGCCACTTTCAAGCATGCAATACAGTATTCTTAACTGTGGTCACCATGCTGTCCAGCCATCTCTGTGACTTTAAAATTGCCTTACTAGTTGGCCTTGTTTACCTGTAGATGCTTTAGAGTTCTGTGTGGGCACGCATAACTGAAAATAATGACAGTTCTGTTTCTTCCTTTCTAATCTTTATCCTTTTTTTCTTATCACACTAAGCCGGTCTTTGTGGTTGCAACGCAGTATTAAATAGGAGTGGCATCCTTTTCTTATTCCTCATC